GAAACGATGTTAAGCGAATCCAATTTCCCCATAAGAATTAATGTAAATGGGGGGGTTAGGTTCCAGGGCAGCTTCCCCTACTCTGCAAGCATCAGGGGTGGGGGGCTCAACCCTCAGCCTGCCCACTCCACCCCTTCCCCAAACCCCCAACCTTGACCAGCTTCTTCTCCCCCACCTCCTCCCCCTTTACTTCGCATGCTGCGTCCTGCCTCCTCCCCCCCCCCTCCGTCCCCTCCCTTCTGAACGCCATAAGCCAGCTGATTGCCGCGTTGGGAAGGCGGGGAGGGAGGGGGGAGACGCACGGAGTCCTCGCTCCTCCCTCCTGCCCGGGGCAATCAGCTGGCTTGCCACGTTCGGGAGGCAGGGGAGGGAGGGGGAGCAGTGCACCGAGTCCTCGCTCCTCCCACCTCCCTCCTGCCCAGGGCAATCAGCTGGCTTGCGGCATTTAGGAGGCAGGGGGGAGGAGGGAGGACTTGGTGCAGGCTTCCCCTTTCTCCCCCGCCTCCTGCCTGGGGCAATCAGCTGGCTTGTGGCATTTAGGAGGCAGGGGAGGGAGGGGGAGCCTGCACACCGAGTCCTCGCTCCTCCCTCCTGCCTCCAAAATGCCGCAAGCCAGCTGATTGCCGCGGGCAGGAGGCGGGGGGAGGAAGGGGTAGGCGCTGATCTGCGGGTCTGCTGGCAGGCGGGAGGCGCTTGCGTGGGGGGCGTGTAGGGAGGCTCCCAGCTGTGGAGAGAGCAGGCAGCCAAACAACGTAAGAGTGGAGCATTGCACAACTGTAAATGAGTATGTTCCCTAATTGATCAGCAATGAGACAACGTTAAGCAGAACGACTTTAAGTGAGGAGTTACTGTATGTTGATTTTCTTGAGGTCATGGAAATATTACCCAGCAGCTCAGGGTATTCTTCCTAGTCTATTTCATTCAGATGTGGTGTTCTTTCCCACTCTGCCCCATATTCCCTGCAATTGTTAAACCTACTTAGAAGTCTTTTCTTAGGGTATGTCTACACTTACCCGGTAGTTCGGCGGCGAGCGATCGAACTTCTGGGTTCGACTTATCGCGTCTTGTCTGGACGCGATAAGTCGAACCAGGAAGTGCTCGCCGTCGACTGCGGTACTCCAGCTAGACGAGAGGAGTACCGCGGAGTCGACGGGGGAGCCTGCCTGCCGCGTGTGGACCGAGGTAAGTTCGAACTAAGGTACTTCGAACTTCAGCTACGTTATTCACGTAGCTGAAGTTGCGTACCTTAGTTCGAATTAGGGGGTTAGTGTAGACCTGGCCTTAGATTAGCTCTTGATTGCAGGGACTATCTTGCTACACGTTTGTACACCATGCAGCATAATGAGACCCCAATACTGATTACAGATAAGAGGCCTCCTGTCCATTTCATCTTGAACAGAGACGGCAAAAGCCACAACAAAGCTATGCACTGGTAATTCTATCTTCACAACTCCAGCAAGACATTGTTACACAACAACATCATGCTGACTTCTTGTCCTGCTTTTGTACCAACTGGTGCCCAGCACTGGACACTCATCTCTCAAACCCTCTCTCTGGAAATTGTTAACAGGTTAAACTAGTCGGGTGAACCTATGGAGCTTTCTCCCATAAACAACAATTTTGGAGTCTCTGGTGCTCCCAGTGCATCAGGACCAAATATGTCCTTTAAGTGATGTGTAAGCTGCAGATGAGCAGGTAACATTTTGGAGAAAAGGGACTTAAGACAAACATGAAAAGATTTTAGTTTATTTTGTAAAAAAAAAAAAAATTTGATTCTTAGTGGATGGAACCAGATGTCAGTCTTCTTTCTTCCCTCTTCCTTTTCTTTCCCTCCCTTCATTTCTTTACTTTTTTTTCCTGTTCTCCCCTTATTTTAGAAAAAAAATTTCAATTAAATATAAATAAAAAACCTTCCTCTTTATAAATGCAATTTTTAAAAGTGTTTTGAATTGTCACTCAGGAATCACTCAAGCCTTCAGCTGTATTCAGTGAGTTTGTGTGCTTCTTCCCTTCATTGGCCTCCATTTTTCTGATGTTCTCTTATCAAGAGAGGAAACCATATATATTCAAGAATGCTCCCTCTAACACAAGACTTCAGACTGTCAGTGAATTAAGTAGAGCTCACCCATTAGTTGCTTAAGTATTCTTAAATTCTGACCTATTAAATATTGGGAAGTTCCCTGGTTGTACATAATGGCTTTATGTGCTGCTCCCCTGACTGATAGTTTCATGTCCAGTACGTTTTCAATAATTCAACAAAGTGCATCCCATTACCACTATAATCTCATTAGACATATGTTATAAATTAGAAGCACTACTTTTCTTTTTACAGGCAATTATAGACTTTTAATAGATTATTTCCACTTCTATGAGTAAAGAGGGCCACATTTTCTCAAAGTTACCTCTGATGGGTCCCCACCTGATTTGTATCTGCAAATAAATACTTGCAAAATTAAAGGCTGTGTTGAGGTCTGGTGGTAGATTGTTGTACTTTTCAAAAAAAAAAAATATTAAAACAGATACACTACATCATAGCATACTTGATGCATCTCATTAAATATAATTTGAAGCAACTGGATGGAAGATAGCAATAAAAATATTGCAACTAGAGAGTTTGTAAGCACTACCAAAATCTACAGCATCTGATTTAAAGACCAAAGCAATGTTAGATGCCTGGGAAAAGACAGATGTCAAATTATTTGAATAAGTTTCATAAAATCACCTCCCATTTCTCATTTTATCAGAACCAAATTGTAAAAAAAATTGTGGTTTGCTATCACAAATATCTACATTTTAATACTTTTTTAAAATAGTTTTTCTGTTTAGTGTATTAGTAACTGATTAACTTATTAGTACATGTGATGGGGTGTACCTACCCCACACCAGCCCCCAAAGGGTTAACTGTGCTTTGCAGGCTGAGGAAGCCCCACCCTTCAGACCCTGCTACACATGCTCAGCCTGGAGGCAGAGTATAAAAGGAAGCAGCCCACCTGAGTCTGGGCAGGCTGCTGGCTCTCTTCAGGGAGTTGCTACAGGGCTCGATTACAGACTCATGACACACAGAGCTCCAGATGGACTCCAGGCTGCCTGACGAACCCAGAGAAGAGACCGCACCAGCAGGAGCTACAGTGCTTGAGGACCCCAGAGACCCGGGGGGGGGGGGGGGGGGGGGGAACCATGGAGAATTGCTGAGGGAGAAAGGATAGGAAGGAGCCCAGGGGACTTAGACTTTGCTCTGGTGAGTGAAGCGGGGAACCGGCCAGCATGTTTTGGGAAGATCCCTGCTGACTCGGTGGTGAGCACTCCCATCACTGCCAGGGCCCTGGGATGGGATATGGAGGAGCAGGGAGGGCCTGAGTCCCCCTACCCTGGGCACCCCACTTCCCCAACAAGCCAATAGGCCACACTGTATCCCAGAAGTGGGCGCATTTATTGACTCAGGCCCTTAGGCTACTCTGTCCTGGGTAGAAGGACCGCGCTATTGACTCAAGTTATTAGGCTACACTACCCTGAGCAGGAGGCACGTACTATTGACTCAGGCTATTTGGCCACACTGCCCTGAGTAGAAGGGCTGTGCTCTTGACTCGGGCTATTAGACCATGTTGCCCTGACTGGGAGGGCTGCTTTGACTCCGGCCATTAGGCCGTACTACCCCAGTTTATAGTCAGGGTCACTAATGTGGGACCTAACTGACTACTGTACAGCCTTTCCCTTCCTGCTCTCCATATGTGACCCAGTATCTGTGATGGGATGTACCTACCCTGCGACAGTACAATGCACAGGGATACAGACATACACAAAGGTTGATGGGGGGAGGGATAGCTCAGTGGTTTGAGCATTGGCTTGCTAAACCCAGGGTTGTGAGTTCAATCCTTGAGGGGGCCACTTAGGGATCTAGGGCAAAATCAGTACTTGGTCCTGCTAGTGAAGGCAGGGGGCTGGACTCAATGACTTTTCAAGGTTCCTTCCAGTTCTAGGAGCTAGGACAGTTCCATTAATTTAATGGGAGTTGTGTGTCTAAATTCCTATGCATTATAGTAAAAATTTACTCCTCAGATGATACTGTTTTCCTTTGGTCTGTACTCTGAAAATGAATATAATTTTTGTTAAATTACCCAAGAGATCCTTGTCCGATGTCAGATAGCAGCCCACCAACTTTTAGATCATGAGTAATGATTTAATCATAATATGTCTTGTATATTGTTTTTACATCAATGGAAATGTATAGGAAAAGAGTTAGAATGTCAGCAGAAAAAGAATGGCTTTAATATAATTCAATATTATAAATAGGTTCTTTCTGTTAAATCTTTTTTTTTATTGAAAATGGCAGGTTCAGTATTAGTATTTCAGCAATATGTAAATACTAGTCAGACATAATTTGATATAACTAGATAAAATACTTGCTCCAATTAATTTCAAATAAATTAAAGACCCTGATATTTGGCCCCCTGCAACATATTAAGTTCTTCTTTTTTTGGCTGAAGTTAATTGGAGGTTAAAAAATGGTGCATCAAACTTTGATCTTCAATGGTGTGATTCTACTCTGAAAAGCAACTAAAAATAGCATTGTGGATTTCTATGTTAAGTGTAAGTGAGATGTGTATGTCAAATCTGCTTTACAGTACTCTGAAGCCCACGTTGTAGTCTTTCAGTTAAAATTTGAATATTTTATTTCAATATAGTAACTTAGAATTTCTGAGAGAAGAGGAAAGACTTGCATTATATCCTTGACTAGCCAACTAAGAGCTGTAAGTTTTAAAATTATTAGTATTTTTGCAATAAATACTTCAGCTTTTAGCTTCACTTTATTCACCCCAGGTTAGTTATTGGATCTGATTCTTGGACTCCATTAAGCCCGTCCAGTGGTGTAAAGGACCTTTAAACTTGGTAGAAACAGCCTCTAGGGAATACACTAATGGAAAATAAAATCTCAGAAAAAAGCATTAGTTTAAAACTATAAAAATATAGCTGTTTTCTAAACATTTCATACATTCTTTATATTATGACTTGTTATTCAGTGGAATTCCTTCCATTAATAAAGCTACTTCTGTAGTTTTAAGGCTCAGAGGCTTATGCTTAGGTGGTCTTGCTAGAAGTCTTCTTTGCTGTCTGGCTTTTCCCACACACTTACTGTCCCTTTTTGGGAACGTATAGTCAATTGTATCCCCCAAATTATCCTCCAAGTTCAATTTCCCAGGAAATCTTACACATGCTGAAATTTCACGGTTATTCCTGTCTTCAAAAGAAACTACTTTGTTTGGGTTAGCATGGTCATAGCACACTTTTGCTCCTTTTTCTTTATTAGTACAAGTTCCATTTAAGACTCTCGTATCATTAGAAATTGCATCTTTTCTAGATGTTACAGAATAGGATTTTTGAGAGAGTATTTTCTGGAAAGGCTTATGGGCTAAATCCTTACCATGCCTGGAAAATTGCAGATTTAAATTTCTATCAATGCTGTGCTGACTAGAATCAGAATCTCCTAAATGAAAGTAGCTTATACCATTTAAAATTAAACCCTGTTGAGAATGTGGTGGATCTTTATTGTTATGAAGTCTTTGGAGGCTATCTTGAGATTTTTCAAGTGGATGGCCTAATAATGTTTGCTTGAAGAACAATCCAATTCCAGGTATGAAAAGCTCTGGTTCCATCTGCTTTGCAAGTTTGGTAGTATTTGTTTGAGATCCTGGCTGATTGACATCATGATTGGCTGATATATCCTTCCAGGTTAATGGATTATACACAATATATCCATCAATAGGACATGCATTTTTTTGGTGCAATAACCAGTTGTCAATACATTCTCTGTGGAACTTAAAAAAGAGAGTCCGTTAAGATATATGGGGCTGTGTCCTGATAATTATCAATATAATAATACTTAATCCAACTTGGAAGAATACTATAGAAGTAATTATTCTTGCATGCAAAAACAACATTCAAAGGAGCTGGATTCTTCTCTCACCATTATAAACCAGAAGTACCTTCACTGGGTCTCAGTGGAGCTACATTAGTGTATAATTGGCATACTCCTTTCATGTATCAAGTCCCAACTCTAATTTACTATGGGAAGTGCCTTATCTCAACTTAGATTGGCTGCTGTAAATCAATACATTTGAAGCACATTTATTGATGGGCTTCAGATTTCAAATAAATTTTTAATCACCTGCCATGAAGAAAATAGTTGCAACTATGCTCACTGATCTACAAACTCAATGTTGACTTCAGTATTTTTCTTTCAGCCTAATTCTCCTGGCACTTTGCTTGCCACTCTTTCTAGAAATCTATAAAAAGATACTAACTATTGATGTTAGATTAATATTTGTTTGTGTACTTTCAGGTAACACTGGCTTTTTTTTTTTTACAGGATGGAGTGAATTGCTATAAAAATAGTTCATCATGTTTGTCAACTAGAAGATCCCCAGCAGTTATACAAATCTGAAAAAGGATATCTTCTATGAGCTTCCTAGGGTGTGCTGGAGAAGAGAGACTTCTCCTGTAGCCTGCCTATAATGCACATGGTAAGGTACTAGAGTGGTATAATCAGATAGGTAGTCCCAAGCCATTTACAAAAATGTTTGCCAATTTGTTGCAAGACATCTGAGTTTCAGATGGGTGAAGCTCCTTTCTACAAATGTATACTGAAAGAACTCTAAGGTTGCAAGTCTGAGCACTCCAAAGTCAAGAAATACTATAGGTTCCATTTCAGGAAACCCCTCAGAGCACAGGTCAGAGGTGTTCCTCTCTCTAAAGGAGAAAAGGAGTTTGCTCATTTGTTAGAGACACAGGGTATGTCTTTACTGCAGAAAAAAAAAATCCTAACTCAGGTTAGATAACCAGCATTGAAATAGCAGTGAAGACCTGGCAATTCTGCTTTTTAACTTGGGTTGCAATGTTGTAGCTGTGGCAGTCCCAAGGTATTAGAAAGACAAGGTGGGTGAGGTAATATCTTTTATTGAATCAACTGCTGTTGGTGAGAGAAACAAGCTTTTGAACTTACACGGGGCTCTTCTTCAGGTCTGGGAAACGTACTCAGGTTAGGTCTACACTACAAACTTGCATCAGTGCAGCTTCACTGCTGTAGCACTTCTGGAGAAGATGCTTTAAGCCGATGGGACAGTGCTCTCCCGTCAGCTTAATAACTCCACCTCCATGAGAGGCGGTAGCTATGTTGGCGAGAGAAGCTCTCCCAATAACACAGCACTCCCAATACACGGGGGAGGGAGGGTTAATGTTGGTATAACTACGTCACTCAGGGGGGTGGATCTTTCACAGCCCTGAGCGACATGGTTATTCCAAAGTAAGGGCATAGCGTAGACCTGGCCTCAGTGTCACAGCTAAATACAAGATGGAATATATTGTTTAGCATAAGTAGTTAACACGTACTTCAAGGGACCATTCAAGGTGAAGTGGGCGGTTAGCACCCCTCCAGTCATAGCATGGAAAGGAAGGGGGAAACAACTGGAAGGAAGTTGTTAGTGGGTTATATATGGTTGTAATAAGTCATAAATCCAGTATTTCTATTCAGTCAATGATTTTTAGTGTCTAGCAAAGTTTTATGAATTTAAGCTCCCAGGCTCACCTTTTGAAAGTGTTGTGCAGGTTTCCTTTGAGGATGAGGACAAAGAGGTCAGATTTAGAGTGATCGCTTTGTGAAAAGTGTTCACCCATAGGGGATGTAGTAGTTTTGTCTATCATTTTCCTGTGCAAGTTCATTTGAAAGTGTAATGATTGTCTGGTTTCACCCACATAGTTGCTATAGAGGCATTTAGTGCACTGGATGAGGTACACTATATGTTGTGATAAACATGTGTAGGACCCATGGATCTTGAAAGGTGTGTTGTGGGGGGTGTTAATCATTGTAGCAGTGGAGAGATGTCTGCAGGTTTTGCATCTGCTGTTCTGGAAGGGTGTGGTGCCTCTTTGAGTTGGTATGCCCTGGTCTGTGGGGAGATTGCTTCTGACGATGAGCTTGGAGAGGCTGGGGTTTTTTTGAAGGCCAGAAGTGGGGGGGTTTGAGAGATTTATTTCAGGATGGAGTCCCCATCAAATATGCGATGTAATTGTTTAGTGATACCCTGTATGCGTTCCAGTGTGGGAGGGCAGCTGATAACTAGGGGTGTGCGGTCAGAGGGAGTTTTATTGCTGTATTGAAGCAAGTTCTCTTGGGGTGTTTGGGTGACCCATTCCATGATGTGATCTACTTCGCTGATAGAGTATCCTTGTTTGGTGAAGGCAGTTTTGAGTGTGTTAAGGTGTATATCCTGGACTTTCTCCTCAGAGCATATTCTGTCATATGAGTGCCTGGTTGTAGATAACAGCTGTTTTGGTGTGTTTGGAGTGGTTACTGGATCTATGAAGGTAGGTGTGGTGATCCGTGGGTTTCTTGTATATAGGGTTCCATTGCTAAAGCTGATCATGATGTCCAGGAAGTTGATGCTGGTGTGGGGGTGTTCCAGAAAGAGTTTAATGGACAACTGGTGGGTTGTTGAAGTTGTGGTGGAAATCTCTGAGGGAGTTTTTTGTCTGTCCGGAGGATTAAAATATCATTGATGTATCTCAGGTGTATCATTGTTTTTGTGGTGCATTTGTCTAAAAATTATTCTTCAAAGTTACCCATGAGGAGGCTGGCATATTGGAGAGTCATCCTAGTACTCACAGCTGTTCCCATGGTTTGGACAAAGTGTTTATTGTTGAATGTTAAATTGTTATGAGTGAGGATGAAATAGATGTGTTTGAGGAGGACAGCTGAGGGTTGGTCATTGTCTTGTAAATATTTGAGGCAGGCAGCTATGCCATCATTGTGAGGGATGCTGGTGTATAAGGCGGTGACGTTCATGGTGACAAGGATGGTGTTCTGAGGGCAACTGTTAATGTTGGAGTTTGTGGAGGAAGTCTGTTGTGTCCTGGAGGAAGCTGCCCCATCAACACACCTTTCAAGATCCGTGGGTCCTATCCATAGCTATCACAACATGTGATATACCTCATTCAGTGCATTCAATGCCCCTACAGCAACTGGCTAGACAATCACTACGTTCTTGTATGAACTTGAACAGGAAAGTGATAAAACACAAAACCACCTCACCACCTATGGGTGAACACTTTTCACAAAGCAATCACTCTGTATCTGACCTCTAAGTCCTCATCCTCAAAGGAAACCTGCACAACACCTTCAAAAGATTAGCTTAAAATTCATAACTTTGCTAAATACTAAAAATCAAGCATTGAATAGAGACACTGGATTTATGGCTTATTACAACAATCTATAACCCACTGACAACTCCCCCCAGCTGTTCTCCCCCCCCCCTTCCTTTCCTCCCTATGACTGGAAGCAGGACCAGCTCTAGGCACCAGCAAACCAAGCTCATGCTTCGGGTGGCACAATTTCAGGGGTGGCTTTTTTTTTTTTTTTTTTGCTTGGGGCGGCAAAAATTCTAGAGCCGGCACTGACTGGAAGGGTGTTAACGGCCCACTTCACCCTGAATGGTTCCTTGAAATATATTAACTACTTATATTAAACAATCTGTTCCATCTTGCATATAGTTGTGACACTGAGGCTACGGCTACACTACAGAGCTTACAGCAGCGCAGCTGCACCGATGCAGCTGTAATGCTGCTAGTGCAGATGCTCTAAGCCAGGGGTCCCCAACGCGCTGCCCGCAGGCGCCGGGGCGTCTAAGTGCGCCTGCGTACTGGCCGGCGGATGAGCATCCGCCGCCAAGGACCACTGCTCTAAGCCGATGGGAGAGAGCTTATTCATATCCTTGAGTGACATTTTTATGCCGACATAAGCTGTAGTGTAGACCTAGCTTGAGTAAGCTTTCCCAGAGCTGAAGAAGAGCTCTGTGTAAGCATGAAAGCTTGTCTCTCTCACCAACAGAAGTTGGTCCAATAAAAGATATTACCTCACCCACCTTGTCTCTAATATCCTGGGACCGACACGACTAGAACAACACTGCATTCAGCATACTTCACATATTCCCTCCAATGCTTACATTTTCATCAACTTTGTAGAAGAGAATTATAAGTATCTAGACTATGTTAAAGAGCTGAACCACAAGCATGAACACACAGGCTAACAGTGGGATTTTGGCATGAACACTGGGTTTTGGGTTCAGTAAAATTTAGAGGTTTTCTTTACCTTGTGATTACATGGCAAGAGTCTTGCATACTGACCAAGACAAAAGATCTTCAAGCAGAGCCTACATTGCAGACCTGGAGCAAGAAAGTTGCTACATTTTCTAATCAACATCAGAGGTAAAGATTTTACAATGTGCTTTGGGATGCAACTGGACCTAAACAATAGAAAATACACAACATGTTTTTTCAGTACATAATAGGAAAATAGCAATAGAAACTGAAACCTTCAAAATGGCAGGCTAGTTTTGGTGATAGTACTATCACTTTACAAACTGATGGTTCAGCAGATTAATGTATTTGGCCACTATTACTGAGGCCCTGATCTTGCTACAAAACCACCACCAATGGACCCTTACTCTCTGCAGAAGAGAGGCCATTATGATAATCTAGTCTGACCTTCTGTATTAAACAGGCCGGAGAATTTCACTCAAGTAATTCTTGCATCAAGCCTATAACTTTTGGTTGAAAGATTATAATCTCCTTTTTATTTCTGAGAGAACCAAGGCACAAAAAGGGGTCACGTGAGTTGCTCAAGGTCACGCAGGGAGCTTGTGCTGAGCCAGGAAATTAATCCTTCTGTCCTGAGGCCCAGGCTAGTGTCTTAACCACAAGGCTATCCTTCCTCACTAAGACTTTCTGTGAGGTGTACACAGATTTTGTTTGCATGTGTGGATCCTGTTGCAGTTAGAGTGCACTAAAACAGTATTCTGTTCTAGTGCAAAGTGGCACGATGCTAGCTCTTAGTTATCAATGAACTGCAAAGAGTTTGATTTCAATAAGCACATTAATTCATATTTATTCAAATCTTTTTCATCTGAAAACCTGGATGGTAAGCCTATTTTCATAAGGTTTTCTTATTGTATTGCTGGTAGTTTCTCTTTCCATTCAGAACTTCCACAAACACATTTAATTTTTTAAATGCATAGTTTTTGCTTTTTGCTGTTTTTGTTTTGTTTTGTTTTTTACTGCTATTCAAAGGGTAGTTCATAATGTGATGGTTTAAAATGTTTTTCCAAGGCTCATGCCATTAGTCTCTAAACACAGGTGAGCAGAATCACACTCACCTGAAAAGTGCATTTAAAATTTTATTTTATCTAGATTAAGAAGATATGACTTAATATACATCTGGTTTCTCTAAAGCATTTCCTGTTACCCTTTACAGGATCATTTCTATAAACAAAAGTAAATCTTCATGAATTGAAAAAAAGAATTGTTTTTAAAGAATGCTGAATTTGATTACATTAAATAGTATGAAATAATTGTATCTTACTTCTCCTGAAGATGTAACATCTCTTCTTTAGAATTATCGCCTGGATTAACGCTTTTTAAATTTCCTCCTGAAGTTGACAATGGTGAAACTTGGTCAAGTGACCTCCACTTCTGATTTCTCTTCTGTTGAATACAGAAAGAGCTAATGAAAGACCGCAGAATACGGTGCAAGAAGTAATTGAGAAAAAAAACTCCAATTTTCAATAGCCAAAATATGGGTTTTGTAAATCATGAAAAGAAACTATGAACAATTTAACAAATTTGTTCTCTAGAAATTTCTGTAGCAACAAACACAGATTAATCACCATTCTGACTGAAGTCCCTGTATTTTAAGAGGCTCTCTTGTATGAGGTTTTGCAAAAGCTCTGAAGTGCTGTGCTGTCTCTCACAACAGTGCAGGACAATCTTGGCCCCCATGTCTCACAAACAAAAAACCCAAACAAACTTATCCTTATGGATGGTAAACTTGAAGAGTTAATATTTCTGGGTCTTGAGAAGCAAAACTGCAGAACCTGCTATTGAACATATGGAGGCTATGGCAATCCTCATTCATGTGGTTTATGTGCCTTGACTCTGCGCAGTGAATTAGTGATATAAAAATTAGTTAACTATGGAAATGCACAAATTGATAATAGGCTAGATCACTGCCCAAGCCTTTTAGATTCTGGGGTAGGGCACAGTGGAAGGCCAAGTTCACAGTGATAACCCCATGCCTTCAATTTCAGCACTCCCCTAGCACTGTGGTTCTAACACAGCCATGTTGACAGGGATCCTCCAGCTAGTGGCTGTCCTGAGCATTTTTTTAAAGGGTGATCCTACCAAGGAGTGGGGCACCGAGAAATTAATACAGTATGTTCTGTATTACTTTTTCATAGAAAATACCACCGGACATGAGGGCCAGGAGAGGGGATGACGACATTCAGTCCCCCTGCCCTGAAATGACCCATTCTCTGTCTGTTCCGTTTCTGCAGAGAGTAATTTGAAAGGTCCAGAGCAAGACAGAAGATAAATAGTACAGAGGCAGCTGACATTCCTGTCATGTCTCCTTCCTCACCCCCACAATTGAGCCTATTTTGAAGTACTATTTCAGTTTACGGTTCTACTCCTTCCTCGCTATTTAAGTATTTCATAGTGGTTTATATTCAATCACAGGTAATCCTCGTCACTGTAATGGTGTTTTTATTTTTAAAAAACAAGATCAGCTTTACATTCCTACGTAAAATGTTTTTCTATGTCTGACCATTAGATAGCTTTGGATATGATGCAATAAAATATAGTTCTCTACCTGTCGAAAGGTGAAAACATGTGGAGGATGGCAAAAGCTAGTGAAGCATTCATGGCATAGATGATATTCACTACACTCAGTGCACCTAAAAAATAACAATATAAGGTAGTTAGAGTGGAATGTTAACAGTTTAGTATAACTTATTAATGTATGAAAAGCCGTTGTTGAAAATTCTACTATTTCGTATCAGGAAGTCCCATATTGCAGTATAAAATTATCTTAACTCAAGCCCATTTCATCAGTGAAAGTTTTTATAAAATAAAACCCTTTGCTTTGCTTTGTTTCTGGCTGAATTTTATACAAAAGTGAATTGTATATGCCAGTGTTGTGGTCTGCGGACCCCTGGGGGTCCACGGACTATGACAAAGAGATCAGCGAAAAGTTGTCATTACCACAGAGCAGTGGTTTTCAACCTGTGGTCTGCAGACCCCTGGAGGGCATCTGTTTCACCAACAGAAGGAGGGGTTGAAGTCCCTGGAAACTGAAAATAGGTGAGAAATACGTTTAGGCAAAGATCCTTCACCTAGGAAGACAAGGGTAGCCAGCATCTTGTACTTCTGTGGAAGATCCTGACCGAGGAAAACTCAGTCATAACTGAGAAGAATACTGATGAGAGACAACCATCTTGAACAAAGCCTGTACCTAGTTAGATTAAGTTTTAGATGTGTTTTCAATTTTACTTGCTTTTAAGGGCATGCCTATGCTATAAAATTAAGTAGACTTAAGTTAGGTCGACCTACAGCCACCACAAACATGAATAATTTTACTCACATCACTGGCAATGCAATTTCTTGGGTGAGTAAAGTGACTTGTGCTTTTAGTGGATATAGCCATAAGTCTTCAGATGAAATGCATTACACTAAGGAATTCGGACTCAACCTCATATCATTGAGCTAAAGATCCCATTAGGAGTCTGTTACACCGATCGCTGTAATGTAAATTGACCAGAACTCAGCACCAAGGGGTTGAGCATATAATTAGACTTGAGCTATAAGAACCAGTGTCATCTATCCCAGAGAGAAACGCTGTTTGTTTAGTTATAGTAAAGACAAAAGGGAATAAGTAGTAAATTATAGGTTGTTACAAGGAATTGTACTGTTAAATTAAAAGTGTTTTAAAAGTACGTACTTGTAGCATTTTCCCTCAATTGGAAATGCTCTGCAGTTATTACAGGGGAGTCCAAGGTGTTTGTCAAGTCTCACTTTCTCTGCTGCAGTCACAAGCTGAGTGGAGTTCCTGAATTCTTCTAAAATGAGCTTTAATGGTGCAAATTCTTCTCTACAGAGGGGACACTTCACCACAGAGTCACTCTCTAATTCACCCTGGTGATCAGCCCAAATCTTCATACATGTGATGTGAACGTTGTTTCCACAGCCGTACCTACAGAAAGTAAGGTTATGTCTATGATACAATCTTAAGTCAACCTATTTTAGGTCAACTTACAGCCACCACATTAATTACTGCAGTGGCTGATGTCCACACTACCTTCCTTCTGTCGGTGGTGCATGTCCTCAGCAGGAGTGCTTCCACCAATTGAAGAGGGGCAGTGTGGAGAACTGAGAGTCAGGGCTGTCAGCTCCCCACAGGGAGCCCAGCTGCTGCCTGGGGCTTCTCGCCTCCATGCTCTCAGCTGGGAGCGGGGGGGAGGCGGCAGACACCAGGGGCTTCTCGCCTCTAGTGGGGAGATTCCTAGAGTCCAGTCAGCTGCTGTGCTCCTGGCAGGGAGCCAGGACCCCAAGGGGCAGCAGGGCTCCCAGCGGGGAACAGGGAGCCTGGGCAGCAACCCAGCTTGGAGCGGAGACAGTGCAGCAGCCTGGCTGGGGGGCCAGGAGTCGGCTTTATTGACAAGAATGACAGCCAATGTAAGGAACACAGTGTCTACACAGACACTACATCATCTTAACTACACCGACATAAGTCCTACTCCTCTTGTTGAGGTTCTTTTATTATGTCTCCATAGCAGGGGAGTTACATCAGCAGGAGGAGCATTTCAGGGTGTACACTTCCACTGTTCTGTCAATGAAAGCTGACTTTTGTCGAAAAAACTGTAGAGTGTAGACAAGGTCTGAAACAGGCATCAATTACTGTACCCTGTCCATAAACATTTAGAAAACCCAGTATCATTAATACAATAGTTTTTCAGCTGCAATGCAACACAACAGCCCTGCTTTGTTTCAAAGAGCATTTATAAAAAACCCATCCCTAAAAATTAACTATTTAAAATTACGATTTTTACATGTCAAGACCAGCCCTCCAATGGGATCCGTGCACCATTAACTGTGTAGAAACTTTCTATCATTAGCTAACTTTTTCTGAGTTTCCACCATGAAAACAAACTAGAAAAACTATACATCTAACCTGCAATAAGTGATGGGAAACATTTTCTTTAGTAGCTCTTCCTGGCAAATAGGACAGACATCCTCTGCATCAATTTCTTTCTGATTAATGTATCCATCATCCTCTTTCTGTAATGTTTTGGTGGAGAGAGTGTTTGCTCTTGGGGGGAGTGTCTGTTCTTGCTGTAATTGCTGAAGTATATCATTGATCTCTCCTTCCAGAAGACCCAGCTGAAAAGCATCTATAGAAAACTCAAATTAAAGCTCTTTGGCAAAAATTTAACATTTACTAATACTCAGCTATCATAACTTTCAGGGTAAATCATCTGCAGCAAACCAACGATGTCAGTGCTGCTAGTGCCAGAAATGTTGTATATCTTCATTTCTCATTGCAATTTGTAATGATAGTTTGTACAACTTCACATCTAAAACTGATCTTTATGGCAAAATTGGTTCAAAGGTTTTTCTATAGAACGCAAGTCAGGTTTCCTGAAACAACACCAAAATATGGTGGTGTATATGTTTAAACTATGATCAGAAGCAACCCCAAACAGCAGTTATTAATTTATTCCAGGAGACCCATCACCCCTAGAATGTGTGGCACAAACATGGCTAGAAGGGCGTTGCACTTTCTGTAATGAGTAGTACGAGGTGCAGTGCAGAATCTGTCCAAGTGCAAAATGGATTATACGTTTGCCAAATCAATGAAGTACTTGGATTTGAAAATGTTTTATGATACCCTGAGTAGGATAGGTGCTTTATTAAATCACATGATCATCTACTCTAAGGCCATGAAAGTGTTGCAAATGACTATATTTTTCTTTAAGTACTTTACAGTTGTACCTTTAGCAGCAGTGTTACAGATATGAAAAAGGTGTCATATTTCAGAATCCTGACAATGCTCCAAAGCATTAAAATGTTGATATGCTAGTTAGGGGAAAACAGTCATTGATCTAAAAGCTGATCTTAGCCAACCTCCAGAGAACTTTGCCTTTGTGCATTTAAACTCTATATGCAAGATAAAACAAGCAAGCAAAAAGAATTATACTTACATTCATGGTTTCTTGGAATTTTGAATTTTTTCAACAATATCCTAACAATGATAATAAGATAACCATCAGGTGGTGCTTGTGGAAGTCAACTAAAGCTAACTACTGGCTATTACTTTCAACTTTACTGTGACATTGCACTCCATAATGTTTTATGGAAATATGCTTATGAGTGTGAATATGATGTAACTGGAATATGCTTTAGACAAAAGGTCTCTTGTAAGGTATCAATACAAAGCTTATAATCTACTGAGTGTGTTTATTCTATTTGTATGCATGTATCATTCTTGTATCTGAAGCTAGAAATATGAAGTATAACTGAGGTCCTATTGTAATTATGCAGTGTGGGCCATTAATGGTGGTTTAGAATCTTGATGGCTCCCATTGACTAGTACAATTGGTTGTAAATGACTCTGTTTACTTGCAAACCATTCTGGATACCTGCGGGCCAGCCCTGGAAAAATAGAGGCTGGGGTCTCCCAGGACATGTGAACACGTCACCTGATACTGGAATCCATCTTAAATCTGGTACTTTTCCATTTAGAAGGAGGGGAGGAGACCTAGAGACAAAATATTCCCGCCTTGTACCAAAGCTATAAAAGGGGGTGGAACAGAACAAAGGGGGTGGCCAGTCCTGAAAACACCTCTAGTTTCCACCTAAAATGTCAAGGACTGTACCAGGGGAAAAGACTGGGCCCAGACTAGGAAGGAGTCTAATCTGTGAGTCTAATCAGCTTTGGGGGCATGGACCAGACCTGGGTCTGTGTTGCAGCAGGCTAGCGTGTCTGGCTCAACAAGGCAGGGTTCTGGAGTCCCAAGCTGGCAGGGAAAACGGGCTCAGAGGTAATTCCAGCACATCAGGTGGCAGTTCCAAGGGGGCTCTGTGACTGAACCCATCACATTTACATTTCAAGGACAACAGCCATCTTAAATACTTCAGAGAGAAAATATTGGGACTAAAACTGTAAGAACAAAAGTTTACAGTGCTAAGTTACAAATGCGTTCTTATCCAAACTGGGGTCCTCTGTGCCTCTGCCAGTTGTTTGAAAGCCTCATAATTACCAAATATTTCTACTATTTTCCCCCATTTCTTTGCCATTGTCTAATCCATGACAGTACTTAAGGAAACCAAGTAGATCTTGGGTAGTAGCTAAAGAGCCTCTTGTGAGGGACATTTTTGAAATCCAAATTAAAATTATATCCACTTGTTCTCTTTCATCCCTTATTTTCAAAGAATTCTCTTAGATTGGAAATACATAACTGACTACATCTAACTGGTTAAATTGCACACTGGCGCAACATTTAGAGAAACAATTTCATGCTTAATTCTAGAGCAAACATGAGGAGAAACTATTGTTGATTGAGTCTTATGTGACACACAAGCGTTAATTTGAAAAGTAGAAATAGCCATTAAATAGTAACAACACCCTGAGGGGAAGGAGGAAATAAGATACCTAAACATAATTCCCTTTCTAAAGTTTCTAGAATCAGTTAAATAAAATGAGACGGTTAGTCAAAAAGGCCTTAAAGTTGCAAGTAAAGTCCTTCGAGGGGGCATGAATGCTGCTTAAAAATCTCAGAAGGCCTGTGCACTGCAGAACAAATAAAGAACCAAGCAGGCCAGGAGTGAACCAATTAGCTCAATGGCAAGGTTTGAGAGGCCATTTGAGCTAGATAAAAATCCTTTAAACTTTGGAAATCTGACCAATGGGCAATAAAAAGTGCATAAGTTACAGCAGGTAAAAAGTAAGAGGGAAACCAGAGGGCCAAATTGATTTTGAAGATTTTAAAATCACTTAGAAAAGTTAGATGCCTGCAAGTCACCAGGGCCTGATGAAATGCATCCTAGAATACTCAAGGAGCTAATAGAGGAGGTATCTGAGCCTCTAGCTATTATCTTTGGAAAATCATGGGAGACGGGAGAGATTCCAGAAGACTGGAAAAGGGCAAATATAGTGCCCATCTATAAAAAGGGAAATAAAAACAACCCAGAAAACTACAGACCAGTTAGTTTAACTTCTGTGCCAGTGAAGATAATGGAGCAAGTAATTAAGGAAATCATCTGCAAACACTTGGAAGGTGGTAAGGTGGTAGGGAACAGCCAGCATGAATTTGTAAAGAACAAATCGTGTCAAACCAATCTGATAGTTTTCTTCGATAGCATAACGAGTCTTGTGGATAAGGGAGAAGCTGTGGATGTGGTATACCTAGACTTTAGTAAGGCGTTTGATACGGTCTCGCATGATATTCTTATCGATAAACTAGGCAAATACAATTTAGATGGGGCTACTATAAGGTGGGTGCATAACTGGCTGGATAACCGTACTCAGAGAGTTGTTATTAATGGTTCCCAATCCTGCTGGAAAGGCATAACGAGTGGGGTTCCGCAGGGGTCTGTTTTGGGACCGGCTCTGTTCAATATCTTCATTAACGACTTAGATATTGGCATAGAAAGTACGCTTATTAAGTTTGCGGATGATACCAAACTGGGAGGGATTGCAACTGCTTTGGAGGACAGGGTCATAATTCAAAATGATCTGGACAAATTGGAGAAATGGTCTGAGTTAAACAGGATGAAGTTTAACAAAGACAAATGCAAAGTGCTCCACTTAGGAAGAAAAAATCAGTTTCACACATACAGAATGGGAAGAGACTGTCTAGGAAGGAGTATGGCAGAAAGGGATCTAGGGGTTATAGTGGACCGCAAGCTAAATATGAGTCAATAGTGTGATGCTGTTGCAAAAAAAGCAAACATGATTCTGGGATGTATTAACAGGTGTGTTGTGAGCAAGACACGAGAAGTCATTCTTCCGCTCTACTCTGCTCTGGTTAGGCCTCAGCTGGAATATTGTGTCCAGTTCTGGGCACCGCATTTCAAGAAAGATGTGGAGAAATTGGAAAGGGTCCAGAGAAGAGCAACAAGAATGATTAAAGGTCTTGAGAACATGACCTATGAAGGAAGGCTGAAAGAATTGGGTTTGTTTAGTTTGGAAAAGAGAAGACTGAGAGGGGACATGATAGCAGTTTTCAGGTATCTAAAAGGGTGTCATAAGGAGGAGGGAGAAAACTTGTTCACCTTAGCCTCTGAGGATAGAACAAGAAGCAATGGGCTTAAACTGCAGCAAGGGAGGTCTAGGTTGGACATTAGGAAAAAGTTCCTAACTGTCAGGGTGGTTAAACACTGGAATAAATTGCCTAGGGAGGTTGTGGAATCTCCATCTCTGGAGATATTTAAGAGTAGGTTAGATAAATGTCTATCACGGATGGTCTAGACAGTATTTGGTCCTGCCATGCGGGCAGGGGACGGGACTCGATGACCTCTCGAGGTCCCTTCCAGTCCTAGAATCTATGAATCTATAAGAGCAAATATGCAAAGGTGTCAAAGCCATCAAGAAATTCTTTATGAAGCCTCTCATAAAATTGATAGGTCTGCTAACTCACCAGGGCCTAAAGGGAGAAATTGAGCAACATAAGGACATTGCTGAGACTCTAAATCATTTCCTTGCATCAGTCTTCACCGTGGAGATACCTATCCTGGGCCTGAGTTCTCCTGGTAATAAAGATGAAGTACTCAGAGGTCGGGGTATCAAGGAAGAGGTGCTAGAGCAAACTGATAAATTAGAAAGCAACCAATGTTTTTGCAGCAGCCATGGCTAGTTTGTCCCCATCATTTCATGTTAACCTAGGGGGTTTGTAATTTACCTGAATCTGAAGTAAGACTCACTGGTCTGTAACTTCCAGGTTCACTCCTACTACTCTCTTCTAGATAGTTACAAAGTTTGCTACCCTCCATTCTACGTTTAAAATAGGTCATTTTAATGCGAAATTGCACGTTTTTGTGAGCACTTCGGCCACCTCATTCTTAGGTTCTTTCCCTGCTCTTTCACCTAGACTATGAAGTTAAGAGGTACGTGTGGTGGTTTCAGCAAATCCTGTTTTGACACCTGATCTGTACCAGTGCTTCATCTTCCCTGGAGGAAAGGAAGGCGTAAGGGTTGGCCTTGCCCCCGCATCCGGGGTGGAGAGGGGGAGATGCCCCACGCCACGAGCAACGCCTTTACCAACAGATGTGGCTGCACAGGTCCTTCTCCCTCAGGAACGTGGCGCAGGTGCAGGAGTGCGGCTCCCCCAGGAACACCTGGGGAAACAGACAGACGCCGGCGTTGGTCGCGGCGCAGCGGGAGCTGGGGCCCGGGGAAGGACCTTGCGGCTCCCTTGGCTGACCCAGCCGGCCGGGCTCGCTGCCCTCTGCGGGGCGGGGGGTCACTCAGCACCCAGCGGCGGGCAGGGCTAGCGCGCCCCTGCCCCCCATCTCTCCGTACCCGGTGCGCGGGCCCTCCCTCCTCCTGCAGCACGAAGCCAGTGGGGCCCAGCTCCCGCACGATGCGCATGGTGCTGCCCAGCGCCTGGTCCTGCTGCCAGCTCAGCCCGGCGCTTGCGCAGCGCCGCCGGGACATGGCGGGGTCCGGCTGGGAGCAGGTGGAGGGGCTAAAACCGCCGCCGCCGCCACAGACGCTCTGCCGTTGATGCCGGTCCCCATAGAAACGGCGCGTCCCCGGGGGCATTCCGCGCTTCTCAGCGCGCGCGCCCCCGTGGGTGGCGGGGGCAAAGCGACGCGGGGACGATGCCTGACTGGTTGTGACGCGCGCGGCCCCTTGGCTCCGCAGGAGCCGTTAATTGCTGGTGTGTCGCGCGGCGGCCGGGTCCTAGCCACGAGCCCTTCCAGGCCACGCGGCGTTCGTGCTGCTCGGGCGTCCGCGGGTCGGCCTCTGCCCGGCGCTGGGCCCCGGGGCTCCCGTGGAGAGCCGCGCAACTCCGTGGGGCTCGGACTGTTCGGGAAATTCGTGTTATTTCCTGTTATCACCTGCCCATGTCAAGGGCCGGCTCTGGCTTTTTTGCCGCCCCAGGCAAAAAAGCCTCTGGCCGCCCGCCCGCCCCCCCCCGCGGGGGGGGGGGGGGGCCGGAGCCCCGGGGCGAGGGTGGCGAGCCCGGCGGGGGCTCCGCTCTCCCCCCGGCGGCCGGGGGGAGGGCGCCGGAGGGGAGGGCGGCCGGAGCCAAAATCATTCACATCATCATAGGTAACTGGCCCAAAAATAGCAGCCCTAATTTAGAACTTAATTGAAATCCTGTGTGAACTCTTTACCTTTCTTTAAAGTCATTTTTGTATTTCCCTCTTTATTATGAGTAACTAAAAATAAACCTAAGAACACTCTCAGTGGTTTTTTCAATATTATTTTTACTCTTCACTGTAGCATTTCCTCAAAAGTTTGAAAATAACACTTTGTCCTCTACCATTTCGCAAAACTTGATTATTTTCTTATGCAGCTGAAATTAATCTGGTATTTTGTATTTAATTTTTTCATGCTTATGTACCAGTAATATAATGTGTGTGTCGATCTGGGAACAGTATTTGTTAGTAACCTGGTTTTTGTGGAGCCAACAGGGGGAACTGTTGCACTTTGTTTCTTCCTTAGTCCTTAAATACTGATGATCATTATTTGTTTAGTGTTCTTATTTTATGTATCTCTTTCTTTTAGATTAATTACCAATCTCATACTTTAGGCATCCTTATGTAATTAATTTACCCAATAATATTAAAAATGGACAGCTTATCCCATTTCAATGAAAAATACACAGCAACAAAAATAATAGATCTCTTTATAGCCACATAGTGATTTAATCTCTCCTACCATCTGCTCATCACCTCTCCAAGGGTACAGGAAAGTATTTATGATGGAATTGTGTCTATTCAGAACTGGAGCTCAGTTCATTTGCAAATTTGACACCATCAGATCAGGATTAAACAAAGACTGAATGGCTATCCAACTACAGAAGCAGCTTCTCCTCCCTTGGTGTTCACACCTCTATTGCTAGCAGAGCACCTCACCCTCCCTGATTGAACTAACCTCGTTATCTCCACACTGATTTATACCTGCCTCTGGAGATTTCCATTACTTGCATCTGAAGAAGTGAGGTTCTTACCCACGAAAGCTTATGCTCCCAATACTTCTGTTAGTCTTAAAGGTGCCACAGGACCCTCTGTTGCTTTTTACAGATTCAGACTAACACGGCTACCCCTCTGATACTAGTAATGAAGTTGCTGCAGTACTGGCTAGCTTTGCCAACCCAGGACCCTCAGGCAGCTGCCGCGGCTTCCCTGATATTAGTGCTCAAGCAACCTAGAGCAAAGCTAGCTTGGTACGTCTACATATGCTGTAGTCACACTTCCTGATTGTAGTGCAGACATATTCGTAATGCACTTCTGGAAGGTATTCAGATATTGTGGTGATGAGTGTGGTATAAGAATGTATACAAGATAGACTAGAATAGAATTTGTCTTCTTCCAACCAGTGACCTTAGGAAGGTTTTAAACTTTACAAGCATTATTTAGTTAGGTCTCCTACCATACCGGTGATGTTAGTAACTATTCCTTTGGGATAAACTCTTTGGGTTACAGATTGATTACTATTCTGTATGGTGCCTAGCACAACAGGGCCCATTCTTGGTTGGTTTCTAGGAACTACCATAATAAACCTGATTAATAATGTTAATCCTTACTTTACAAGTGGGCTACCTGAGGCACAGTGAGGCTAAGTAACTTTATTAGGTTTTAACAAAACAAGACTGAGGTGTATGTTTTCTCTGCTAATCCACAACCCTTTGTCAAAGGCAATGGGGTTCTAATGGTCTTTGTTAAAGGACAATGGCACTGAAGCCAAGTAATTCAAAATTATATATAGCAAAAGAGATGTTACAACTTCCATTTGCAATTTTTTTCAGGCCCAAGGGAGCTTGAAAACCTTGGAGACTGAAGTGCCCTTTGCTTTTTACCCTGTAGTACCTCCACAAACCAGAACCACCAAATTTAGAAAATTAAATTTAAAATACTGGTACTGTGTTAAGATTGTAAAATGGAGCACTCCAAGGTCAAGAAATATCAATTAAAACTCAGTGCTCCACTTAATTCTGATTTTTTTGTTTATCTTTAGTTATGTAATCACAATCTATTTCTCATATTGTACCATCTATTAAATTCATATGGAAGTTTGATCTAGTCCTGGGGGTTGAGCAGTATTTAATAGGTGCAATAGACTTACTCTGTCTTTGAGCATCCAGAACAGCTGCATACCATGGTGTTCTCCAAAGGTAGATGGGCAACTGTAATCTCTCACTCTATCTCGGTGTAACATGTCTGGTCATAGACACCTGTGAATTAGCCATTGCATAGATGCTTGTAGTGTTTATGAGGCAGGGCACCAGTAAGAGCTTGTAGGCAGCTGGTCTGATTATGTGATAGAGCAGGGGTTCTCAATCTATATGTGATATTAAATGTTAAATTGTTAAAGTGAATTTTCCATTACGTGTCTCTGGACTCCAAGCTTAAATTCCAGCGGTGAAAGGTCAATATAGTAAAGCAATGCCTTATCCCAGTGCTCCACCCAAATCACTAACTATTCAGGTTCAGAAGATTTCCTTTGCAGACTTTCCACTCATTTAAATTGTAACTACCAAACACTTAAGATGACACAACTTCCTGTATTTACTGGAAGTGTTGCTATGAGCAGATCCTAATTACAAATATGAAGCTTCACTTGTGTAACCTGGGTGTGGGGGAGAGGGACGGAGAGAGGGAAGGACAAGAAGTCTTGCAGACGTCTTCTAAATTTTTGTAAAGTTGTATGTTGACCTAAAAGATTGTACAGATAATTTAGATTGGTTTGGATGATTTAGATTAGAAATAGCATATTGACCTTTCATCAAATTTCAGCCAAGTTAAAAGTGACCAAAAATCAACTGCATCTTAAATCTATTTGATTAGTTTAATTTATTTCCTACCAGGCTGTTTGTTTTGACTCATTCAGTTGTTTCCCAAATATGTTCCAGCTGTGCATTATAGGAATAGCTTGTATCTGTTTATCTAATCTAAAATAACCATATTATGTATGCCTATCACTAGAAAAGATAAGACGCTTGGCTGCTGACATCACCAATCTGATTTCACAAGGCATTAACTAAAAAGAGCAGGTGAACAGAGAATTAGATGATATTATAGTGGGGATGGTAGTTCCCCTATTATTAAAGTTATCCAACACTTCCCATTATAACCCCTATTTTTAGCAAGTTTGCCATACTTTAACTCTTTGGGCTGAAATTTCCATGATGGTTGTCTGCCTTAGACTGAATTTTTATAAAAAGGTTCAGCCATTTTTGAGAATGAGGTTAGGGAAATATGTTGTTTTGGTATTTAAAAATAGTCTGACAACCTTTTCTTTGAGAAGCTCTAGTGCCCATATGCTTTGGAGCAGACACTTAAAATCAGGCAGTGAAGTGGTCTTTGTGTCAGGGGTATGCCTTTTGCTCTACTTGTGAAAATGTAACCAAATTTTGCCAATTTATAACCCTTTTTCAAAACGTCTTGGTTCACAAATGCTCAGTACAGACTTAGGCTCAGATCCACAAAGATATTCAGGCTCCTGACTTCCATTGAAATCAATTCAAGTTAGGAACCTAAATATTTTGTGGATCTGGGCCTTAGAGTTTAGTATCTAAAGTCTCCAAAGATTCCATATACATTGGGCATGCTCAGCCCTCTCTCAGCTCCTACTGCTGACCAGACTATGCATGAATTATCTCCAGAAAGTGACCGGGCATGCTCCAGCCAGGGCTAGGAGCTAAACCAGTCTTCCCCTCTAATGCAGGGGTCTCAAACTCAAATGACCATGAGGGCCACATGAGGACTAGTACATTGGCCCAAGGGCCGCATTACTGACACCTCTCCCCCACCCCCGCCGCCCTCGGCCCTGCCCCCACTCCACCCCTTCCATGAGGCCCCGCCTCTTCCCACCCCTTCCCATCTCCCATTCCAACCCCTTCCCTGAAATCCCCACCCCAACACTGCCTCCTCCCTGCCCCCAGGGGGTGCAGGAGGGGCGTGGGGTGTAGTGGGGGCTCAGGGCAGGGAATTGGGGTGTGGGGTGCAAGAGGGGTGAAGGGTACAGCAAGGGGTCAGGGTGCAGCAGGGGGCTCATGGCAGGGGGTTGGGGTGCAAGAGGGGTGCAGGGTGCAGCGGGGGATCAGGGCAGTGGGTTGGGGTGCAAGAGGAGTGTTCGGTGTGGCAGGGGGCTCAGGGCAGGGGTTGGGATGCAAGAGGGGTGCAGGGTGCGGCAGGGGGATCAGGGCAGTGGGTTGGGGTGCAAGAGGGGTGCAGGGTGCAGCAGGGGACTCAGGGCAGGGGGTCAGGGTGCAGGAGGCGTGTGGGGTGAGGCGGGGGTTCAGGGCAGGGGGTTGGGGTGCAGGGTGCAGCAGGGTGCTTAGGGCAGGGGGTTGGAGTGCAGGAGGGGTGCAGGGTACAGCAGGGGGTCGGGGTGCAGGGTGCAGCAGGGGGCTCAGGACAGGGGGTTCGGCTGCAAGAGGGGGTTGGGGGGCAGGATCTGGCAAGGAGACTAGGCGCAGGGCCGGCTCTAACTTTTTTGCCACCCCAGGCAAAAAAGAAGAGCGCTGCCCCGCCGTAACACACCCCCCCCCCAGCGCCGCGCCGCC